GTTTAAACTTGAAAATGTTGACCAAACTTTGACTTTTATGAAAACTTAGACTTGGGCGTAATCCCGAAATTGATTTTGGAAGTCCATAGGCTAATTTGTGTTGATTTGCCGAAATTTAACAATTTTAAGTCAAAAAGTTTGACCGTAGGTTGACTTTTAGCTATTAAGCTCGGGATTTGATTTTGGAACTTGGAATTGGTCTGTTATGGCATTTAAAACTTGTTTGCAAAATTTGGCATCGTTCGGAGTTGATTTGATAGGATTCGGAGGCTTATTTGAAATTTTAGAAGTTCATGAAAATCTCTTTTAAAATCATGCATTTTAGAGTCCAATTCGTAGTTTTAGATGTTATTTATGTATTTTGATCGCGCGAGCAAGTTCATATGATATTTTCAGACTTGTGTGGATATTTGGTTTGGATCCCCGAGGGCTCGGGTGAGTTTCGAACGCTTAGCGGAGTGTTGTTTGAAATCAAAGTTGTCGGTTTCTGCATAGGCCTCAGATCTTGCAATTGCGAGGTCTGAGGTCGCATTTGCGAAGGTAGGCCAAGTCTGCTGGGTTCGCATTTGCGAACCCAGTGTTCACATGTGAAGTGCACCTGGGGAAAGCTTGTTCGCATTTGCGATCAATATGGTCGCATTTGCGGAGGTCCATGGTTCGCAATTGCAAATTATTTATCGCAATTTCGATGACAACAAATATGGAAGGGTCTTCGCATTTGCGAGTGATTCTTCGCATTTGCAGCCACTACTTTGATTCCTTTTATGCAATTATGAATTCCACGGAATTTTATCAATTCCAACGCAACTTATCCTTTTGGAGCTGACTTAACAAACTACGCGAGCCTCCCAACGAAACCAACATAAATCTGATCCGAATAAAAAATATAAAAGGACCTGGCGGCTTATGTGCGACCTGTGGCCCATGCCTCATATTTGTTCAGGGCGGGCGGCGTGAACTCTGATTCGATCCATGTATTCCAAAGGCGCGCAATCAAAGCCATGCTTACTTCATTTTTCTTCAGGATTTGGCCCGAACTGTTCGGCAGATTCCCACGTGTTACCCACCCGTCCGCCACTTTGTTCTCAACTCTTCTCAGTCACAAATGCGACATCTGCTACTGGACAAATAGTTGAGGGACGGAAATTTTGAGTTCATTCTCTCATTTTTGAACCCTAGACTCGGTAAGAAGTAGTACTTAGAGAGGGGATTTTCATCTACAAACCTTGGGTAAGTGATTCTAATCAATTTCTTGTCATATTCTATCAACATATCTTAGATTTTAACATCAAAATCATGTGAATCAAAGTAGAAATTTATGAAACTTTGTCAAGTTTTTGAAAAATAAGAAATTGAGTTTTGAGAGTCGATTTGGACTCGAAGTTTTAAACTAATCACATATATGAACTCGTGGGGTCATGGGTAGATGGAATCTACCATTGAACCCGGGTTTTGACTGGGCGAGCCCCGGGTTGACTTTTGTTGACTTTCTGAAAAAATATAAAAATCCTAACTTTATCTATTGAAATTGAATTCCCTAGCACTGTTTGATGATATTTAGTCGATTTTGGTTAGATTTTAGCCGTGTGGAGGCGGATTTTAAGGGAAAAGCTATTTTCGAGTGTTGAATTGGCCTAAGTAAGGTAAGTGTATTGTCTAACTTCGTGTAGGGAAACTACCCCTTAGGATTGGTATTGTTTGATTCAATTGTGCTAAGTAAAATCCGTGTACGCAGGGTGGCGAGTGGGTACACGGGTTGTACGTAGTATTTGACCGGTTTAGGCTACTTAGACTACTTCCATGCTTTAATTGAAATGTCCTATTATGTTCTAAACTCTCATAGTCAAATTACATTTAATTGTGTTAGTCTATCCTTAAATGCTTTAGTTGACTTGTTTAGTACTTGTTCTACATCATACTTGCTAATTGCTCTCATACTTTAGTTGAACTTGTTGTCTCCTTTATTGTTACATGCTATTCTTCATTGTTAATTATCATTGTTGAAGTAATTGTTCATGTTATCCATTTACTTGTTGATTTCCATTATTTTCCACTCGTTGTTGAATATTATCTCTTTACTGTGAAGTTAGTCTTATCTAATATTATAGTTATACATTATTTCTCTCATTGTTGAGTTATTTGGTGTTGAAGTTGTGGAAGTCGTTAATACGTTGAGGCGATGTTGGTTATTGTTGAAACATCTATCTTGTTGAGCATTTTTCATCCATTGTTGTTGTTGATATTCTCGTATACAATGTGTTGGAGCCATGAGCTATTGTTGTGGAAACATTGATATTGTTGTTGTTGGCAAGTTGTGATATATGGGAACTTGTGGTGTGAATTATTATTGTGATATGATATTGACGTGCATGCGGTTGTAAAAGGCTTGGGTTGATGTGCATGCGGTGGTATAAGGTGGGAATTATGTGTGTGAATGCTTGTAGGGAAACTATGTGAAGCCACGCGGCGTCATAAGGTGGGCTAAAGTACGTGTAGCTATTTCGGGAAAACTATAATCAAAACCTATTTTCAAATGTATGGCTCACGCGGCTGTATAAGGAAAGATTGTGATTGAAATTGAGAAATATGAATACGAGGCAGTACCTCGGTTGTGATTCTTGATTATACGAGGCGGTACCTCGTTTGTTTTCACTATACCCAAGGCGGAACCTCGTTGTTTTTCTTGTTGTCTGTTTCATATTGCAAAGTGTTACGGAAGGAATATTTCTTTTTGCTTCATTCTTTATTATTCTAGCAGTTGTAGCCCGTACATGATCGTTATAGCACTTTAGTTGCTTCTCTTATGTCATTTCTATTGTTAACTTCCGGTACTAGTTCTTGCTATTATCTTGTTCCATATCAGTTGTTCTTCACATTCTGTTACTTATCCGTATTACATTTTTATATTGTCTATTTCATATCATAGTAGGTGTCTTGACCTGGCCTCGTCACTACTCTACTGAGGTTAGTCTTGATACTTACTGGGTACTGTTGTGGTATACTCATACTTTTGCATATCGTTTTGTGCAGATCCAGATACGTCAGCTAATGTTGGTCAGTAGAGATTTCCTGCTAGCTGATTTTACCAGAGGATTCAAGGTATGCCTGCTTGCCGTCCGCAAGCCTCGTAGTCCCCTTCCCTTATTCTCATTTACTGTTGTATTTTCTCACAAACAGTGATGTATCATATGTTTTAGTTATTCCATAGTGCTTATGACTCTGTTCCACAGTTCTTGGGGATTGTATGGTTGAGACTTTGCTTTTAGTAGTTATATGAGTTATTCAAACTGGGTTGAGTATTTTGTTATTTATATCTGTTTAATTGATGTCAAATTTTAAGCTTACCTAGTCGTAGAGACTAGATGCCATCACGACTTTCTACAGAGAAAAAATGGGGTCGTGACAGAAATTTATATCGAAGGTGTGGAGGCAATGGCTTCAACTCCAAGGTAGGTGGCTCTTCAATAGAAAGCTTTGTGGGAGGAGTCTTCCTATTTTCAAGATCTAAAGATAATTTTCGAGGTGCATAGTTGTACGACCCCATTCCTTGGAAAGAGTTCACACATTCCATGAAATCATCCATCTCGTTATCATCAAAGTTGAGCAAAACGGCCTCCAACATATCACACATTGATAGTAGCACTTGTATAATCAAGAATAACATCGGTCACCAAATTCACAAAAGAACACACTTGATTGCTATTTGGTTGCTGCATGGACTTACACATATGGAATACCACTTTTTTATCACCAACCCGGAAAGTGAGTTCTTCGGCTTCTACATTACAAAGAGCCTTACCCGTAGCAAGGAAAGGTCTCCAAGAATAATTGACACTTCATAATCAACTTCACAACCTAGAATGACAAAGTCCGCCGGAAGAATGAATTTATCAACCCGAACCAAAATATCTTCAATCACACCCAACGGCCTTTTCATGGTACGATCGGCCATTTGCAATCTCATAGAAGTGGGTCTTGGTTGCCCAATCCCCAAAGTCTTGAAAACCGAATAGGGCATTAAATTTATACTTGTTCCAAGATTACAAAGAGCTTTAGCAAACTCGACACTTCCAATTGTACAAGGAATCGTAAAAGCACCGGGATCCTCCAACTTAGGAGCCAATGAATGAATAATCTTTGATAGTCTCAAAATTCATCGACGCTTCTTTGTCACAAGATCTTTCATAAATATTGCATAACCGGACATTTGTTCCAAAGCTTTTACCAATGGCACATTGATTGAAAAACTCTTCATCATTTGAATGAACTTCTTGAATTGATTCTCCCTATTTTACTTGGCAAGTCTTTGAGGGTATGGAGGTGGAGGCATAGGCAATGGTGCCTTTGCCTGTTTCACTAACGGTTCCAGTATGCCAATGATGCGTTCCCTAGACGGGTTCACCTCCTCTTGGGTATCTTCCACACTTTCATCAATATTAATCTGAACTTTTGTCATTTGGTTCACAACAACAAAAAGGGGCTTTAGCGGTAATAGAAAAGGTCATTAGCGGCAATAAAAAAGGCCGCTATATCCTTTACCGACCATTGGTCTTTAGCCGCTGAAACCGGGGTCGGCAAAGCCTTTAGCGGCCATTCTCACAAAAGCTGGTAAAAGGTATGATTTATTGCCGCTAAATATCATTAGCTTTAACGGCAATTGTTTGTGGCAATTATGATGGCTGCTAAATCCATTTCTAGAAATGCTTAGTTTGCTCTTTTAGCGCCTATTTTTATTGCTGGTAAATCAAATTAAATTGCCTCTAAAATTACATACTTTAACAACTATTATAATGGTTGCTAAATTCATGCAAAAAGTAATTAAGTTTGCACTACGCTTATTTTTATTATCTATAATGTCAATTATATTATCGAGAAATAATAACCCTTTTAGTGGCAGATGAAAGGTACAATTTAACAACCTTTTAATTGTCATTAAAACTATCTCTGAATTGGGAAATACTATAAAATAATTCACAAAAAACATAATATTTCACTAAATCTAGACAAAAAAGTGCTAATCTATATTATTAATGCATCAATGACATAAAAGATAAAATTACATTATTTGAATTAAATAACTAATATCATTACAACTAATCATATTGAATGCCTACAATAACAAAATAATAGATACGTAAGTCCACAATAAATATTCGCAACTCTTCATTATATTGAATTCTTCCAAATGCTAAAAGTTTGGACATCATTGATGTATGACCTGAAATAATAATAAATGTATGTTAAAAGATGAAATCAAGTGAAAAACAAATTAGTAATTCTATATGTAAATATATTCTGAAAGGAGCTACCAACTAAAACCAATTAAAATGAATCCCAACAACTGAGAAAACATTGAAAACAATCATTTAACAAAACTCACAATTGCTCAACATTTCATTCATTATTTCCTGATCAATTAAGGGAACAAACAAATAAATGAAAATGGTCATTTAACAAAATTCACTAATCCGCAGAATTGTACTACTCATACCAATCGTATCGAAAACAGCCTCTCTGCCCCATCGAGATAGGGGTAAGGTCAGCGTACACACTACCCTCCCCAAACCCCACTTATTGAGATTTTACCGAGATGTTGTTGTAGGCCAGAAAAGTTGGATCCTTTAGTTAGTCTAGATATTGCTCCAGAAAGCAACCTTTTAAATTCTCCTTTTTTAATAACACACATAGTACCATAGGCGTATCAGACAACTTAATTTTATTACTATAGTTATAGATCAACTTAGCACAAGTTTAATCATGTAAATAAGCTGATCAGAAACAATTGGAAAAAGCTAGCAGTATAATAATAAATAAACATTTCTTAAAAATAACAGAGACAATTATTTGACAACACAAATTGAGATACAAACCAAACACTAAGATACGACCAAGTTTGATACTTCATGCTGTAACGAAACTAATTATTCTAGATTATCAAATTATCCAACATTTCAGTCAGTCAATTTGAGAGTGAATGGAGTCATACCTAGAATAGAGGAAGAGTTGTAATTTCCCAGATATTATTATGTTGAGCATGACAATGGTAACTACTATTCCTTAAACTTGGTGAGCTGAATAACTTCAACTTTTTCTAGGCATATTTTTCCTGTAGCAAAACCTTTACCTACATGGACAATATTCTGATTAGTAAACTTAGAAATCATAACCGAATGTTTATTGTCAAGTGTGTTGTGTAGCATCATCTATCTATTCTTGTAGAAATTTATTTTAAGAATACTCAATAAAGATAAATAAGGGTATTTACTTGGAAGAATATGGCAAGACACAGAACATCTCTTGATCACATAATACATAAACAAAATGTATTTCAGCCTTTTCCATAGAGGTAAAGCTATAACACAAGATAAATACTTGAGTCAAATAGATAGTCAATCTCAGATATAAAGTTCCTACATAGATAGGAAGCATCTATGAATTAGTACTGAATTTGAGCAGCTTTGGCTTTTACGATTCATTGTAACAACTTGGTTTCCTATATGATCTGCACTATCTTTAAGGGCAAAAAAATTAATCAAACATTCGTTAAAGAATTTGAAAAAAGGTACCATTTTTAAGAACAAACAAGGAAGAAAAGAATTTAATTTCCTAAGGGTGGTTGCTCTCTTAGGCGGAAATTAAAAGTCTATGATGTCTAAACATCTAACACAAGGGTGGTAGAGTATATTTCAATCATATTCGCTTGACAACTTCAACAACCAAACTCTTTCAACCACATCTTGTCTCTAAAATGTGTACTTTGTTGACGACTTACCTTTTCAATAAAAAAGAATCTTTCTTAGCTGTGCAACTTTCAAGTCTTCCTCTTGACTTAAGAAATATTATAAAAGAAAAATAGACCACCGTAACAAAGGGATTAAGGAAAAAAAAATATAATTCTCATATGATAAAAAATCCAAGGAACAGATAGTAGAAGTTTGAGCACTTACCTTTCGAATTGCTCACATGAATATGTTGTTGTCTCATTGAGAAAGAGCGAGAAGAGTTCATTGTTGTGGAAAACAATGAGCCACAAAATTGCTTATTACTATGTAAAATGGAAGTCAAAAGTTTTCTAAGATGAGAAAGCTACAACAAAATAGCATTAAGTGATTAAATATATTGTAATCGCAAACTGTTGTTATAAAAGAAGGTACTGTAGCTGCAAAAATAAACCTGCATTGTGAATTTCAATTCTATTAGAGATTCTGACATCACTACATGCTTTTGGGTGATATAGTATTCAAGTTATTTATCAGGTCATAGTGACTAGGGATGTTCCAAGAGAATTAGTAAAGATGTTCTAATTTGAAACAAGTGGAATGAAATATCCACCAGGCTCTGCTGAGCAAAGTCATGAAAAAACTTTAACATATGAACAAAATTTTCAATTTCCTGATTTCAGTAAACTAATATGTGTTCATAACTAGACCTTGTGACTAATGCTCAAATCTCTGTTGTTTAGTAAATCTATAATCAGGTTGCCTTGCAAATCAAAATTAGACAACTTAACTTACGATATAACCTTACATTTCACGAAACCATTGTTTCAAAAGTTCCATCTCTGAATAACCTTTTTAGTTTGATTTCTTCTTTCTAATTAACCGAAAAAATCATTTGAAACACCCTTCATAACTCCAAATTCATCTCCATTCTCTACATTTTGGGACCCATCAAGCCTCAACAATTAGACATTTCAAAAACTAAATTTTCTAGAAAAATAAAATATCACATTAGCACATTGCAAATACTCTTTTCTACATCTCATCAATAAATTGCATTCCAATTTTCTTCTCCAAGTTTCTTTACATTCTCATCAAATCTTATCTAATCAAACCCATAATATAAAAGCAATAGATCAAGAGAGAGAGAGAGAGAGAGAGAGAGAGAGAGAGAGAGAGAGAGAGAGAGAGAGAGAGAGAGAGAGAGAGAGAGCATGTGTAAGTGCGACTGAGAGAGTGAGAGAGACGAGTTGGGTTACCATGGGATGGCAGTCGGTGATGATCTGAGAAAGATGTGATTGGCAGCGGCGCGGTCGAGAGAGATAAAGCCCTATTTCTTATTTTCTTCTTTAATTGAATCTATTTAATTTACATGGAAACTATTTGGAGGGAATGGGTGATTATTGTGAAAAAAAAAGGGAGGGAAAGATGAAATAATAAAAATTGCATTCAATTGTTGAATTTTTGGCCGTTCCGCTTAATTGCCAATAAAATAGCACCTTTTCCTGGAAAATGTTGATCCACCACTAATATCTCAATCTTAGGAATGCTATATTGACAATAAGTTTATTGCCGCTAAAAATTAGTCTGTAAAAGCTATTTTTGTTATAGTGGTTGAACAATATTGTCCGTGATCTCTTCTTCTTGCATTACTTGATCATCATCAACAAGTCGCCTTCCATTTGAGGTAGGTGCATTACCGCCTGTTCCACTTATTGTGATAACTGCCATAACATGCCCTGTATTGTTATCACCCTTTGAATTTATCACCGTGTCACTTGGTAGTGCACCCTTAGGATAAGGATTTAGAGCTTGAGAGATTTACCCCATTTGAACTTCTAGATTGCGAATTGATGTGTTGTGTGAGGAAAGTTGGCATCCGAATCGTCATTCTTTTCAATTATTTGCTTGAACATATTCTCAATATGTCCCATCTCATTGTTTGAAGAACTTGAACCATGGGAAGGATAAGAAGGAGGGTTGCTCGGTCGTTGATACATTGGGGGCCTTTGAAAACCCGACTCCCGGTTGCCTTGATTGTTACCCCAACCTCCTTTGTTGTTGCCTCCCCAATTTACTTGGTTATTTCCACTCCAATTCCGTTGATTTGTTTTTATTGTTATGCCAATTTCCTTGATCGTTAGAACTCCAATTGCCATGATTGTTTTATGATCGCCATTGTTGTTGGTTTGAGCCTTGGAAGTTGTTTCTTTGCCCTTGAAAATTATTCACATATTGCACTTCTTCCTCTTGCCCATTATAAGAATTATCTTATTCAAAACCGCCATCATCTTACACATAGTTCTCCACTCGAGTTTGCATTTGTGGGCCCTTGGTCCTTCTCTTGTTCACTAAAATATTTACTCCCTCCATAGCATGAACATTCTTAGTAGCTTGCACTTGATTAAGTTGGGCCTTTGCTAGTTGAGTCATGGTAGCGATCAATTCGGCAATGGCTTGCCCATGGTCTTGCAATTCTTTGTTGAGGTGGATCATGTTCAGGTCACCTTGTGGAACATTGGCCGGGGATTGCCAAGCCGATGACGTCTCCGCCATCGCATCTAGAATATCACACGCTTACTCATAAGGCGTAGTTATAATATTCCCACCGGCTATTTGATTCACTACACATTGGTTGGTTGTGTTAATCCCACGATAAAATATTTGTTGCAATATATTTTTTGTCATATCGTTGTTCGGACGTTCCTTAACCATTGTTCTATAGCGTTCCCAAATTTCATGTAGTGGTTCATTCAGCTCTTATTTGAATTCCAAGATTTCATCTTAAAATGTAGCCATGTGCCTGGGAGAGACAAACGTAACAATGAACTTGGCCAACAACTCATCCCAATTATGAATCGAATGGTTCGACAATTATTCCGACCAATCCAAGGTTTTCTCCCGTAGAGATAAAGGAAAAATTCTTAGCCTCAATGCATCCTCGGAAACTTTCGTTTGTTTGCTCCCCCAACATATATCCACAAAACTCTTCAAAGGTTTATAGGCATTTTGAGTTTGTGCACCAGTAAAGAAACCACGTTGCTCAAGTAATATGAGCATCATATTGGTGTTTTAAAAGTTGCCCGCCCTAATATGGGGAGGGACTATTGCACTACCATACCATTTGTTGGGCAATATCCGATGTTGAGCCGCTCGTGGTGGAGGTGGGGGTGGAACGGGCACGTTGTCATGTGGTTCTCGGCCTTTTCGGTTGTCTTGTGGCTTCTGAGGTACCTCGTCTAGTTGTTCCTCCTCGCCGTCTAAGTCCCCCAAAGGAAAAATTTCGAGCTCATTGTTTGCCATGTTTGTACATATGATTTCTTAAACAAAGTAGCACCATGGAATGGAAAGAAGATATTCCAAAAACATGCTCAAATATATAGCTAACACCGTTTTAACTCTCGGGCAACGGGGTCAAAAATTGATCCACTCTCAATCCACACTCAACAATGAGTGGAAGAGGTCGTTGGAAGAATAGTACCCAACTCTGAGTCGGGCTCAATTTCCTCAGGGAGCTAACAATGGATGCTAGAGTGTATACTAGATGCCCGAAGATGATACAACTTAAATACACTTCCAAACAAGTTTGTGTTGAAAAATACTTCTATGAACTACACTATCAATGCTCAAATAGAGAAATGAAACTAAAAATTGACTAATTGTTCTTGGTTGTTTTCAAATAGGTAAAAATCCTAGGGATGTAACATTCGCCTAGGTGTTCGCCTAGTGGGTTAATTATGTTAACACTTATTTTATTAATTAGGGTGTATTATTGCTCTCAACTCTAAGTTACCCACTCAATACCTCTCGATCATAGAGTGATTTTGCCCAATTTGGCTTCTCAAGCCCAAATGGGTATCAAGCTAAATAGTTGATATGAGGTCAAGTCGGATTTTCTCTATATCTAGTTCAAACCCTTTAGTTAGGCTACTCAAATCCTTAACTAGCCCAATTTCTTGTTAGCCAAGTTTTCTTAAACTAGGTCCCTCTTTCTCAAGTAAAGAGTAAGTCAAAAAAGCATGAATCAATATTTTCAACCATTAATTCTAAAATTATAGCATGAACAAGTCTAAATAACAAACACCCAATCATAAACAAGCATTAAATTAAATACCCATAAGGTTTACAAACTAGGGTTGGGTCACAACACTAGTAAGTATCTAGCTACTCATAGTAGAAAATGAAGAAAATAAAGAAGAAATACTAATTAAACCCATACAAATTAAAATGATGAAATATGATATTTTTGTCCTAAAATGATCACAAATTACCCAAAATGATAAACTATAATGGCTACAGCTAAGAAAACTTAAACTTGACCTAAAAATGTGATTCCCATCTATTTATGGTGGCCCAAAATTCGCTGACAAAAATGTCCTTCGGGAGGTTCTGCGGCCACACAATTCCATGTGCGGTCCGCACATTGCTTGAGTCTGTAGGTGGATAGATTCTGCAGTTGCCCAAATTGATTTGCGGCTGGACTTCATCTTCTGCGGCCGCACAATTCATGTGTGGTCCGCACTTCAGGCAAGAATTTAGTCGTGCTCATTTTTCACTCTCTCTGAACTTTTTAAATTCTTGTCAGTGCGACCATGCTCAGTGGCCGCACAAATTTTCTGCGGTCCGCACTTGTTCTTCAATCACTTCTGGGCTTCTACATCAGATCTGCGGCCGTACAGAGAATTCTACGGCCGCACTTGCTTCTACGGCCTCAGAAATACTTGTGCGGACCGCATTTCTGGTCTACTACGCCCCTTCTTGGCTTGTGCACCAGAACACCCCTTTTTGAGTTGGATTTCTTTATTATAGTCTAAATCTCCAATATTCCTGCAATTTGCACAGTTTTATTAGTTTTGGGAATATAAATCAACACGTTCGGTAAAAAGGTACTAATAAGTGGTCAAAATCCACACTTATCATTCCCCAAAGGAACCTAGCCATATGTTTCTTTATAATGTTCAATGTAACTTTGGGAGCGTGTAGAGCTGTAAGCGTGTAAGTAGGCAGGGACTGTAAAAATATTTTTGATGAGAACCACTCTGCCACCATAGGTTAACATTTTACCTTGCCATCCATTCAACCTTTTAACAACCTTAGTGACCATGTTATCAAAGAAGCAAATCTTTTTCCTTCCAATATATATTGGATAATTAAGATATGTGAAGGAAAAACTCTTATCCATAAATCCAGTGCAATCTCTCAATCTGTTGATTCTATAAGCTCTAGCTTTAGGGCCAGTGAGAAATAAACTTTTATCCTTGTTGACAAGTTGACCCGATGTATTTTCATACTTTTTGATTTCTTTGATCACAAGCTTGACAATATTTTAGTTGCCACCCTAGAATATAACAATGTCGTAGGCATAAGCCAAGTGGTTAATGTGAGGACTTCTTTTATTAATAGAAAAGCTAGTGAAGTTCTCATTATGATGGAGATTGTTTAGAGATCTAGACAATAACTTTGTAGCAAGAATAGAAGGGGGGGAGGGGGGTAAAGGATCCCCTTGTTTGAGGCCCTGAGAGAAAGTAACCATGTCTAGTTCCATTGATAATTGTGGAGTACTAGACATTCAAGGCTATTCTCCAAATCATATCAGACCATTCCCTGCAAAAATCAAACTTATTTAGGACTTCAATAAGGAAACTCCAGGATAATCTATCATAGGCTTTAGCCATATCAAGTTTCATAATGATATTCCCACCCTTGTTAGGTTTGGAGATATCATGAATGATCTCCTAGGCTAGCATAACATTCTCCGTGATTAGTCTCACAGAGACAAAACTACTTTGATTATCAGAGATTAGCTTAGATAGCAGAGAGTTCCATCTTATAGATAAAAGCTTTGAAATGATCTTACTAGTATAATTACTTAGACTAATAGGTTTAAGCTCTTCGAATCTGGAAGGGGAATCCACTTTGGGAATAAGAGCAATGCAGGTGTGAGAGTAGAACTTAGTGAAGTTCTTCCCTCTAAAGAACTAAGTGACAAAATCAATGATGTCTTGCTTGATGATATTCCATGAAGCTTGAAAATATTTCCCATTAAAACCATTAGGTCTAGCAGAACTCTCTGCTCATATTGAAAACAATCTTTTTGATTTCTTATTCCACAGGCATCATAGTCAGCATCTCATTGTATTTCTCTGTGATAATATTAGGAATGTAATTTAGGATGCCATTGCTCACAGTAGGTTGCTAGTTTAGATTGAAAAATTTTTTAAAGTACTTAACTGCAGCCTTAACAATTTTTTCATCACCCTGTATCCATCTATCTCTATGATTCTTAATTCTATAAAGTTGAAGTCTTCTCCTCCTGTCTCTCAGGAAAGTATTCAGTGTTACAATCACCATCCTTAAACCAGTTAATTCTAGCTTTCGGATTCATCAAAGACTCTTGCATACCAAGCCATCTAGTATATTCTACATAACCTTTGTTGAGATCTTCCCTTCCTTGTTCATTGTTGTTTTACATATCAATATCTTCCAGA